TGTATTTGACGGATGTAATTGGGCTGTGATATATAAACTCTAGCTTGCAAACTTTGCATTAAACATTTTTCGTTGTTGTATCTTCTGATACCAATATCAATCCGTTTCCTTCTTTTCTTCTCTAGCTGCTGTTGCTAAGGTGATAATGTCCCTTTCTTAGAAGTTATAAATTTACATGTTATATAACCTGATGTAGACAGCGAGGTGGACCAAAAGGTTAAAAACCATAATAAAATACATAATAAAAGAAAGAAAAATGTTAGATAAAGGAGGATGGTTTGAAATGTGACATTAAGACATTTTTCATTTAACGTTATTCTGATTTAACTTCTCTCTGATCTCGCTCTCGCTCCATTACAATTAAATGCACAGGCCAATGGTACAAATCATGTGATGATGTAATTTTTTTTTTTTCTGTACTGTGTTGGAAACGCTGGCAGCCCTTGCACCCCTGTCATGTTCAATCAATAACACTGCGAACTAATCTTATCAGTGCTTTGCCATAGCGGCTGTGTCTGCACTCACCGTCTCTCATTTTCATTCTCTAAGTCTGTCTGTTTCTGCTGTTCTGTCTTCCGTCCTGTCTTGTTACATATGGCTTTTGGTGTGAACACAGCTTATGACATATTGTCTTTGCATTTGTGTGAAGAATAGCTGACGATGCATGTCTGTGGTTTAGAAGTTGGTGTCTCTCTGGGGGTTTATCACCTCAGATCAAAATTTGTTCTAAAACATCTCTAGTTGTGATGGATTACCAAGTCCTTTAATTAATTTGAAATGCTAAATTAAGATTGTCAACCTTGGTATGTAGTAAGTTACCCTAGTAAGTAAGATGTGAAAGTGACACATGCACCTTTTTCATTTATGCATCAGTATTGATACTTTATGAGAGTAATTGATACTTACTTAATACCCGTTTGAGTTGAGATTTGAGGAGTAGGCAACTGGACTGGACCATAGCTATCACTCGTTTGAGTATCTAATATTGTCTGATTACTCTCCTCTATCACCTCAACTGCTTACTTTACCTCAGTAAATTACAAATAAATGGCTAGATTTGAGGAGTGGGCAACTGGACTGGACCATAGCTATCACGCTGTCCTGCAAAGCCAAATCAAGTAAAAGTAAAAGTAAATCAAAGTTATCTTTGATTGGTTTGATATCTTTGGGGATATTTGCGAGGAACAGAAAAGCCCCATGTATCTCGAGAGTCCAGTGGTTTACAGACAACTGGATCTGATCAAAGGTGGTGAAGGTAAAAGTGTCTGTACCCACTTAAGGTTTTGTTTGCAGTTAACTTTTCTCTCACATGTTGTCATCATTTTTTGGTACCTAGTGATGCAATCACATATGTTGAGCTTTAAGCTGTAATAATGCAGGCATCTCGAGTCTCCAGGGAGTTTAAGACTGCAATGAATATTACACAATTTCATTTATGAAATGGCCGGTTTGTCTATTTCTGGTTGTTTTTCTTATTTTCCTTGATGTCCTTGCTGTGGTTTAGGTTAAACGATCACCATGTAATCCAAAGCAGAAAAATAGTTTCACATTTTCAATTTAAGTCATAACAACCTGCATATAACAATTTTCATGTCAACCTGAAAATAAGAAATACTGAGATGTAGGTCTGTCTAGATAAAAACTAATAGCTCTGACTCTTTTCAACAGTCAGTTAATTCTTTTGCGGAGAGAGTGATGTATTTTAATGTGTTTTGTTGCTCTGGGGTAATCTGTCAAATAAGACAAAGAGACCAAATGGATTAAAATGTTAATGGATTAAAACGACTGCGTCTTGAAGCTTTACAGAAATTGACCATGTAATACAAATTGGAGGAGAGACACATCTGGGAAATTAAGTCTCCCCCAGTGAGGTGCAACAAAAGTGCTATTAGTTGGCAAGACCACATAATAGTCATCAAGAGTTATCGATTACGAGATTTAATCACGTATTAGCCTTCTCACTGTTTCGGGAAAGCTCGTTATCTTGATTTTAGCCTCTATGCTAGGTTCAACTGACTTAGACTCCCTCATTACAGCTGCTTTGTAAAGATTTTTAAAGAAGTTTAATTACCTCATGACATTCCTCAGTCTATCAGCTTGAACTCAATTATTGGCCGATTGAAGTCAGCACATCGTTGATTAATGTGTTGAATGAATAATGTCAGTTTGACTCACGTTACAGACAGGCAAAACGCGTTGTTGTTTTGCTATTTAAAGAATGTTTACACCAGTCGTTCCAACCTTTTTGGCTTATGACCCTATTTTGGCATTCCAAATTTCTGGCAACCCCAGAGACATTATTTTTTTCTCTAGAATTAGTCTTTGATCGTGTTTGTTATGTGTGCCTATCTGTGCTTACACATCTGCTTTACGTGCAGAAGGTCCTGGGTTCGAGCCTCAGTGGAAACCGCATACTCAATGGTGCCTCCCATCTGGCAGCCTTGGTTGCTAAGACTCATACTGCGAATTAACCAATGTGGGATGAATAATAATTAGTTGAAAAAAATTTTTTTTAATCAACTACACGACTCAATTCGATTTGCAGGCTACCCAAAGGTTGAAAAACACTAGTTTAGCTTACACTATTCCCATAGGAATATGTACTGATAACTGAGCTGAACCCATATCATTAACAGTTTCTCTTTACATCGGTGTGTAGTTGTATAAACACAATAAGTGTGTAAAGGGACCACTTGATGCAACAAACTCTGAATCCAGACAGTGTAGTTTGAGGGGGAAGTCCCTGTTCCTGTTGTCTGTATGGTATGTCAGAATGAGGCCACTGCTCATTAGCAGCTAGCCAGGGGCCTCATACTGTATTTAATTGAAGGGATCCAGCATTCCTCCCCTTGCCTGGAATTATTTTGTTACATCCTATTGTTTGAAATGTGTGTGCGTGTGTGTGTGTGTGAGAGAGAGAGAGAGAGAGAGCAAGATACAATCCTCGCCTTAAAAAAATCCACAAAATAAACCGACGGTTGAAAATTTGTAGAACAAGCTCATACAGTTTTCTTCTTTCTCAGAACCCCGGTAGCCAGGGTGTCCCACAGTTATGCCAACCCTCATGTAATCCTGGTTTAAAGCTACTTTGCTGGAAATGTGCTTCTATTGTCTCGACTCAAACCGCATATGTGACTCTAAATAGCTTGTTGTTCTTGGTACCTTTGTTGTTCAAACCAACAGATGTTTTAAGTGGAACTCTCAAGCTACTGAAAATCATGCACGCACGTCCAGACTGGACCTTGGGAATACCAAAAAAAAAAAAAAATACAATCTGAAAATACCAACTTAAAAGTGTGCATGCAATTGTTGCAGTGGACGTCTGCTCTTTTTTTTTTTTAGCACATCAAAGCTAAGTGAGACATGCCCAGTAATGTAGTCCAAATACAGAAAGGCAGAGTTGTTCTGTCCAAAATAAGAAGATCTCCTTTATGCACGCAAGCATGAAGCGATAAGCTGGTGTTATGGCTTTCCTCTGTTGTGTCATGCCTGTCAAGAGCTTAAGCTCCTCGAAAGTTCACAGTGTGCACGGACTGGTTGAGGCTGGAGTGGAAGAGAGACGGCTCCAAATAAGGACTGGGGCCTGAGATCGCTTGACTTTTCAAACTGATCCAGCAAGATTTACATTATGTGGTGTATCAAACTCTGTCCCCCTCCAAGGACAGTCATTTGAGTGTGTAGGTAATCAGATCTGTCCGAACAGGAACATTCTACATAAACGAGTGATGACGGCGGTGCTCCATCATTTAAATGGTTACACTAGGTGGACCACGGTTCTAGAAATCTGTCTGAAATTACCGGACAGGCATCTTCTTTGAGTAACTTGTTCAGTATATCAATTTCAAGTCCCTACATAGTCAACTGGACCAGTGTCCCCCAACTTTTTTGTACCAAGAACTGGTCGTTACTGTGGACAGCTAATACCGCGCCATCATTGAAGGATCATTAAAGTTTCAAAATGTTTTAGACTTCAATCTGTTAATATCAGAGATCCCTGATCTAGGCCTTGAATTAATTAAAAAATCAATCAAATTGTATTAATAATGGTAAAGAGTCAAAAACATCTGAGCTGAATGTGATTTTGCACAGGCTCCAATGATTTTTTTTTTTTTTTTTTTGGATATGCGTCAAGTTAAGCATCGATATGTCAAAATGAATTGGGAACTGTTTGTTGACAACGAATGCAGCCAAGTCACTGGGTGGAATGTAGAGCTGCAGTGTGGTTCGATTGTCTCGCTGCCAGCCAACTTTTGGTGTGTGTTTGTGTACAGTGTTAACCCATTAAGACGGTTGAGCCCTATTCATATTTACACAGCACATTAGTTAGGCCTTTTTCCACAGGACATGGAAAGGAAAGGAAAGTGAACTACACAGCACACAACAAAATGTGACCTCTGTTTTTAACCCATCACCAAAGTGAACAGTGTGTGTGGAAAAGGCCATGATTTTAGTCTCGTTCTCCTACACAACCTTTGCACGTATCAGACTCAGTATCAAGTGTCAATTCTCTTGAGAGTCTACTGTATGTCAAGGGGAGTTTCAAGTCTATTTTCCCAAGTGCAAGTCAAGTCTCAAATCTCAAACGACTGAAATGAATGTCATTGGATGCAGGCACTTGGGTCTAGATAGCACTGCATTGCTGTATATGATTGATTGCAGGCGTGTTCTATACTGCAATGTATTATTTCAGGGGGTTCTTGACCTGTGTCTGAATTTCCATCCTACGATGTGGTGTTATCAACTAGTCCTCATGGATTTTTTTGGGGTAAAAACAAAATGCTCAACTGTACTATTAAGCATGTTTTTGGGCTTTGGGATCGAACTTGCGGCCAGAGTCAAGCATCGCTACATAGAGTACTTTTTCACTGTTTATTGTTTACGGTTCCAAAATTAACGATGTCTTGGCTAGAAATTACCTTTGAAATATTGATATAAAAACACTAAATATATACAAAAAAAAATGGTACATGGTTGTCATTCACTGTTATTGTTCTCCCCAGATCCAACCTGTTGCCAGCATGCTGCTGAGTTCTCCTCTTGTAAAGACGCTTGTGACCAGGTAAACATACCTACACGCACTCACACACACACATGCTATTTTCTGATTTTTGTTAGCAATTCCTACATACATAATTCACTTACTGGCCTAGTGGCTCTCAAACCTTTTTTTAATCATTCCCCACTTTGAAGTGAGGATTTAACTTACCCCTGTTGCTCCGACAAAAATTTCTACAAATAACAATTTAAATAAAATGTATTGAACTCACCAAGTAACGTCATGTTTTATTATAATGAATCAAAATCCACAAATAATACAACGGATACTCCCGTTTTTCGTGCCCCACCTGCCATGTGTCTGTTCACCACCAGTGGGGCCCGTCCCCCACTTTGAGAAGCACAGCACTAGCCCCTTACTCAAACCACAACTACTACAAGTATTTGACTATTTCATTGAAACTTTATCATATCGATTAATCTGGCAAGAGATCGATTTTTCGCCATCAAGCAAAGTAATCGTGTGCACCATGAAACAGCGACGTGTTTATGTCCGGTTGATGTTCCCAAGTGAGCATATCCACTCCGCTCAGCAAGCCATGTCACGATGTGCCCGATTTGCATGTGTGTCGTACGGTAACACGAGCACATTGGACCGTACTGAATCAAGTCACGATTTAATCAATTCAACGACTTTTTTGTAAATCTTTCAATACGTTCCCTCAAAGAATTTGTACAACAATTTTATCTTCTCAAAAAGTGTCCTTGTTGGTATGGCTGTACCGAGACAGACACATTCACACACACACACACACACACACACCGCATTGCATACAGACAGAAGTGTCCTGTCTCTTCTCAGCTCATTCTTTTTGGCTCGCAATAGAGATTTGTGAAGTAGAGTGATGTAAGGTTTTTTTTGTGTGTTGTGGCTCTTTGAAGTACAGAAAATGTTCCGCCTCATGCATTTGAGCTGAACACAAACACACACTTTCACACAAACAGACAGCACTTGTGTCCTTCATGGCAAAAGAGACAAGGATGTAGAAGACGTTTTTCTGTGGCAGCATAAAAATACACTGAGATTCAAATCAGATTTTCTGATTGTGGTAGTTTGGGCGTGATCTGGTCCAGGGGCCCCCAACCCTCCGTCCGAGGACTGGTGCCAGTTCGTAGGTCATTTGGTACCAGGCCGCAGTGGGACACTAAAAATATATATTCAGGTCATTCATGATCCTTCAATCATGCTGCGATATTACCGGTCCGCAGTAACACCCGATACCGTCCGACCGGTCCATGGTATGAAAAAAGGTTGGGGACCGCCGCTCTAGTCGATTGACCTGATACTCCAAAGTTGGAGTATCAGGAAAACATTGTTGTCAACATAGGGAATTTTTAGCTTGTATCTGGTCCTTTTAGTTTAAGTTTAAAGTATTATTTGAATTTGAATTTTTGAGGACATGTTTATTCCACTTCAAATAGGCCTTGAAGATGGTTTTAAAAGTCGATAAATGTGAGCTCCAACAAAGTGAAAGTGATGAATTCTTACTGTAACACAACACACCACTGCACCTCTGCCTTTAACCCGTCACCTTAGAGCGTAGGGGGCAGCTCAAGCTTAGCAATGCGGCGAGACAGTGCACATGCACAGTGGATTTGAACCAGTAACCTCTCTGAGCCAAGGCCACCACTGCCCTAAGGGACTGCTTAATGCAATATTACATCTATTGAATGGAAGTCTTAAAAGAAATCATCACGAAAGAAGTAGTCCGTCAATGTGGATGAAATGCTATGCTTAATTATGAATAATCTCATATTAAATATTTTAATTAACCTTGTACACTTTGAGGATACTAGTACTGCTCAGAAAAGCTCATTGGTGCTACAGCCTGAAATTGGCCACAGCTTATCAACAAGTGGCGGTGCTGAAGCCATTTTAAAAAACAAAAATTAGTAACTGTTCTTGTTGGCAGCAGCGCTGACTGCCCCCGTCATTTCTTCCAAAAATGCTCGCACGTTGGCATTGACTTGGTACCGAAGTCCTTGTGCACACACGTCATATGCACCTGTACCCCAGTAGACATCGCATGTTTTCAATTTACTTTCAACCTCTATTTGGCAGCAACAAAACGTCTCTACAGACACAGCGTCAGTCTGTGAAACTGGAAATCACACCCTCTTGGCCTGACTCACGCCCTCACTCTCCAGTCAGACTTTTGGCTGCTGGCAGTGGCTGCGTTCTCCCAGGCTTGTTGCACGTTTGAGTGTTTGTGTGACTAGTGACTAGAGACAGTGTTATAGCTCAAAAAAGGTTGGGAGTAACTGCACTACATTTTCCCATGACTACTTTCTTGCCAGAAAAAAACATCCTCGAACTTAAATACGTTTTGTACCATGGTATTATTAAGACAGTAATACAGAGGCTCCTCTGTTTACGATGTACTCGACCTACAGCGTTTCTTGGTTATTTTGGCATCTCTCAGAAATTTCTTAAGAAAGTCTTGTTTCATCATTCCAAAGTGTTCTATGGGTTATGGATATAATTTGTTGAACTTCTTATCTATTTACTTCTTGCACGGTAAACCCCTACACTTCATTCCACATACTGGAACATATACATAATGTTTTTAATGTTTTATTAAGTGATATTCCCCTAGACTAACCATATTGATATTAAATATCATATCTGTACAATATCCTTGGTTTTTTTTCCCCTCTTACCATCAGTTTTATTACCATTATCATTATCATCTGGCTGCTGCACCTTACCAACCTACTTATCTTGTGGTTCTTTTGCGTGTCCTTGTACCATTCTGTATTTTTATTTATATTTTTTATCTCTCTGTGTTTTATGCTGCTGTATTTTATCGTATTTAAAGATACCGAACTATGTAATCCGTCTGTCTTTCTGTCTATCTACTAATACTTTATGGTACTTCCACTGACCAAAAACAAGAAATTAAATACATGTGTTCTTCTTTCCATTGACTCTCTGTTGTGTTCTGGCCCTGCAGCTTGCAACTATAAAAAGTGAGTCTCGTCTGAAGCATCTCCTCCAGAGGTTACCTAGCTACTGTCCAGAGTCTATGGTAAGTCTGTTCACTGTGTACGTCATCGTTGCAGAGGGTTGCAGTAATGTATAGTGAAAAGACTGCATTGAAGTATTGATGTGCTCTCTATGTGTGTCATTATGCCTCTGGCTGCAGTATCACTGCAGGTCTTGAGTATCTGACTTTAAAAATACATGGGCCCCCTTATACATTGTTGATAACAAACCTGCCGTCTATCTATCTATCTTTCCATCTAGCTATCTGTCTGTCCATCTACCCATCTATCCATCTACCCGTCTATCTATCTATCTATCTATCTATCTATCTATCTATCTGTCTGTCTGTCTATCCATCTACCATCTACCCATCTACCCGTCTACCCGTCTACCCATCTATCTATCTATCTATCTATCTATCATCTATCTATCTATCTATCTATCTATCATCTATCTATCTATCTATCTATCTATCTATCATCTATCTATCTATCTATCTATCTATATATCTATCTATCTATCTATCTATCTGTCTGTCTGTCTGTCTGTCTGTCTGTCTGTCTGTCTATCTATCTATCTGTCTATCTATCTATCTATCTATCTATCGATCGATCGATCTAGATAGATCTAGATAGGCTGCTTGTATCTGTCTTGTCTTGTTGTTTCGGTCATAACCCAAATGTTATGACCATAGGTGAGGGTATGAACATAGATTGACCAGTAAATCGAGGGGTTTGCCTTTCGGCTCAGCCCCTTCTCACCACAACAGACCTATGCAGAGGTATGACACTTAAATGGATCGGAGAAAAATGAAGCTTCGGGTACAACTTCAAGCTGAAACATTAGCCATGTGTCATCTCGCTTTGAATACATGCAGTGTTGTGATGTTCTGCCGTGTTCTTTAATTAACTGTTGGTCAAAGTTAAGATAAAGGTGGTATTGACTGGTACTGACGTTAATTCCGAGAAGGAAGTGGTTTCGTGGGTACATCAACGGAATCTATTATGCATACACACACACACAAAACACGCACAGCCTCCACCCACAAGTTATAATTACAAAGCAGATAGTGTGTGTGCATGGTGTGCGTCACATCTGTCTCCAATAGTCTATTAGAAACACACCAGTAATTAGACTTTGTTTTTTTAAAAACATTGAAACATGTTTTTTTCTTATTTCTCAAACTCAACTTAAGTTCCCTTTACGGTTCCTTTAAAACATGTTTTTTTCTTATTTATCAAACTCAACTTAAGTTCCCTTTACGGTTTTGTTCTGATTTTACTGGAATCAAACTACGCACTACTACGAACCTACTATCAATAGCTGGCTATGCAATTTGAATGCTGTTTCCTTATGTATATATTACAATGATATGTCCAAAAAAACTCTATGATTTGTCTGGTTATTGCTTTAAAACCATGGTAATTTGATCCTTTGTGAAAACATTGCAGACGCATTGGCGTTGATGTTGGATTGATTGACTCGTTCATGCTGGTGTGATTAGGCCTTTATTAGACCACGGTTGATCACAAATCATGGTCGTGTCTCGTCTACAGTCACACTCTCATTATCTGTTCCGTGAATCATGTCAACACTTACTGAAGAGAAACTTTGTTCTCCAGCAAACACACAGAGGGTGTTTCAAGTTGTTAGTGCAAGAGTAATGAGTGTAAAACCAACACTGCTAAAGCTAACAGAACTGATTGTGTTCTTCAGGTCTGCTATCTCTGTCTCTGGCTAGCTAGCTAGCTAGCTATGATAGATAGACAGAGATAGCTAGATAGACAGACAGATAGATTAGTATTAGTGTTTTTGATTGTAATCTATCTATCTATCTATCTATCTACCGATAGATAGCTAGCTAGCTATTTGGCTTCTTCAAAGCCTTCATCTTTCTAACTAGCCATCTATCTATCTATCTAATGTAACTATATGTGCATGCGTAAGTATACCAAGTAGACCACATTACCTCTATAGTAAATATATGTATACATATAAGCAGAACCAGTATAATTATAAGGATGTTATGTGAACAAGTATATAAATACTTTAAATATATGAACAGTCCATTCATAACAAAACCAATTCCACCTCACACTGCTCTGACTTAGCATTATTAGCATAATTAGCTTTCTGTTGAAGAGATGATGCAAAACACATTCTCGAATTGGAGGTCAAGTTTTTATATTTTGTAGGTTTTTTTACTCACGCTTTGTTTAACTTATTTTCCACAACAGGTTAACCCTATAAAACCATTTATATCATCTTTGCTATGCAAAATTCTGAGAGAAAACAGCCTCATATGCTCTATGTTTTCAAAATGTTGGGCATAATTTGTTTAAATATGTTTAATAGAGTTCCAATAAAATAACTTTTTCTGTTTTTTGTGTCAGACTTTACAGCATTAATTCATCATAGAAGAATGACTTGTAATGTTATTATTCTGTTTTCAGTAGAAACGTGCTCATTAAATGTAACACTCTCTCTTTTTGTCCTGTAGAACGAACTGTGGGTGTGCATTAATTCTACGCTTCCAGGTAAGAGACAGACAACTCTTATTAGTAATTTGGTTTATTTTCAAAAAGCGTTGACATATATGAGCTGACAATATTGTAGAAGAAGAAGAAGAATGCAATACCAATATTTAGTGACATTTGTCTAAGATGCTGTGCTTAAAAAAGGTTGCATGCTACTTATTGTAATTTAATGTTGTTGCTTTTCAAATATATGATCTTCTCTTTGTCCCTCTTTGCAGTACTTCTTCCAAATTCCATCCACTTAATACCTAATTTATTTGTTGTTTTAAACAAGGCATGTGCAAACTAAGGCCCGGGGGCCGGTTCTGGCCCGTTCAGCTTGCAATACCCACATTTTCCCAATAGATGGTGTAGAAAATGATAAAAGCACTTTAGCATTTTAGCCTTTTTGCATGACATTTACATTCAGTCAGTTATCTAAGTTCGCATGAACGCTTCATCTATCTGCTCCTGACCCGGACGCCCTGTTAAATTTTAGGACAATTTTAGGCCTGCCGGTCAAAAAGTTAAGTTTTAAAATTATTATTAAAACACTGCACTCTTCTTAATCTTGAACAACATTTGGTCAGGGAAAATAAAATATTTGCAACACAGTATAACAAACATGATTAAGTAGTAATTCTAGAAGAAAAATGAAATGAAATGTCAGAATGGGGTCAAAAAAGGCAAAAAAGTTGGGAACCACTGCCATAGGCAGTGTTGTGTCAATAGAAAAAAAATTTTTTTTTGCATAAATATATTTTGGAATCAATTATTCCAAAGCAGTCTGTCTTGGACTGTCTTGGTTTCTCAAACATATTTTCAGCTTTTTATTCAAGAAGCTTTGTCAGTTGAAACTGACTGCTGGAAAAAATCAGGTATTTCTCCGGGAAGATAGATACCTGTAAAACAGAGTTGTTATAGTTTTGTTTTACCTAAAACAATTCTCTTTTCAAATATTTATCCTACCTACCTACTATATTGCACTTTTTTTTTAAAAAAACGCACCTGAATTTATTGTTTGTATGAATCCCAAGTGTTAGCCTCTTGAGTTTCCTCCTTGCCTAAAGCGGTGCTGCATGTGCTTCTTTAACAGAAAGAAACCATTAAGATGGTATTTCTTTTCAGATTGTAAGATACTTTGTTTTTGTTTGGCTCTTTTTTGTATCCAGTCGGCCCCAGGAGTCAGTAAGAGGTTGATGGAGGCTGTGGAAAAGTACCTCCTGCAGATCCTTTGTGGCACTCAGATATAATCAGTTCTTTGATGTTGACGCATTTCAGTAGTGTTCAGGGTTTATGCCCACTGTGAAACCACTTCTCCTCAAAACACCAGGTTTAAAACTCTCTTGATTTTATTTCCAAAGTGCCTCTCTACAATTTTGTCATTATTTTTCGTATTTTTTTTTTTCCCTTCTGGAAATACCCACCATAATTAAATCTTTCCCAATACAATCCAACTAAAAGCCAGCCAGGCCAACAAAATATATCCCACTTCAATCATGGGTGAAGGCAGTGATGCCCAACTTTTTTTTTTGACTTGTGACTCCATTTTGACAGCACAAATACCAGATGACCCCAGATACATTTTTTTCTCTCATATGATCACAGCAGTTAACGAAGATGATCCAACTCAGATATTTTTATATGCTGCATTTTATTTGAACTCGATAAATTTTCATGAAAGTGAAAGTTTCTGTGAGCTTGAAAAACAAAAAAAAATATTATTACAAATATATATACAATTATAGACATTTTAGGTGACCCCATTTGAATTCCAGGTGACCCCCACATGGGGTCGCAACCCCAAAGTTGAAAAACAACTTTGTTTATAACATGTTTGCTATTTCATGTTAAAGACAGATGGCGTTTTTGAATAGATAATGGAAAAAATATCTTTAATAAACAATGTTGAAAACAGCAAAAAAAAAAAAAAAATTGAAAAAAATCTTTGCTTCTGTTTTGTTCCATTTGTTTTCAGGAGTATCGAGAAAGTCCGATGGCTGGGTGGGACTGGGCTGCTGTGAGCTGGCCATCTCTGCTGAGTGTCGCAGGGAATGCAGACAGGTGAGAGAATGTCTGAAACATGTGCAGCTCAGTTCTACATATCATGTTTGTTTGACATTGTTTGTGTGGTTTATATTCACAGGCATCGTCTAAAAGTGATATAACCAAAGTATGCAAGAAAATTACAGAGGTGAGTCTCTTTCGGGTTAATAGCAAGGGGAATATAGGAATGGATTGAGTGTAAAAAAAAAAGATATACAAAGATAAAGATAAACAAAGCTTTAATCATCCGTCTCTTGTTTCTCTCATCTCAGAATCCTCTCTACAGCTGCATCACCAAAAATGAAAGTAAGTTCATTTAAGCTCACCTCATCTGTTTCCAGTCAGTAAATAAAATCACTACGCAAATCATCAGAATTTGAACGAGGGATGGCTCAATGTCCGATACCGATACTGCAACTTGAATCACTTATATATTTAGGGTGTACAGTGTTCCCTTTCTATATCGCGGTTCTCCTTTCGGTCACTTAGTACAATCGCAGATTTATTTTTTTTTTAACCTGATCTTGTGAAATTTTCGCCATGTTCCGAAATATAGCAAAAAATAAACGAAAAGTTGAATAAACTCACTGAGCAAATCATCAGAATTCGAACGAGGGATGGCTCAACGCACCTTTTCAAGTCCGATACCGATACTGCAACTTAGAGTAACCTAGTGATGTCAATCACTTATATATTTAGGGTGTACAATGTTCCCTTTCTATATCGCGGTTCTCCTTTCGGTCACTCAGTACAATCGCAGATTTATTTTTTTTTAAACCTGATCTTGTGAAATTTTCGCCATATTGCGAAATATAGCAAAAAATAAACGAAAAGACATCATAAAAATTATCCATATGAAAGTTTTGGCTTTAAAAATGTGGATTCTCGCTTTGAAATTGAAATAAGCTATAGCTATCGGTAGCTTTGTTTACCTAGGCGAGATCGTACACAGCATACTATTGGCTAATACAATGTGTGCTCGGTGTACTATTGGCTAATTGAGCGTGCTCTTCTCTTCCTCCCGCTGATTGGCTCATGCATCGTAGCATCTCCTAGCATCTCCCCTTGTCTCTCGGTCACTCTCTCAGTCACTTCACGCCATTACACAACTGTACTTTGCATATGCTTGTGTAGGAAAGGGTAATACAGTATAGGGAGCGTTGATAACAATGTGAGGGAGTTTCGTAAAGGGTAAATATATATACGTCAATAATATAATAAATATCTCGCCTCTACTTTGCAATTTTTACAAATTTCGCGGTGGGTCTTGGAACGCAACTACCACCATAGGAGAGGGAACACTGTGTATTACTAGTTGTGTTGGCTAATTAAAATTTAATCCAAAGGCACTTTGCAGTATAGTATTGGTAACTGCTAAGACGCTAATATATTTTTATTTTACTATCCTTGGTTTGTCTCGTTAACTGACATCGGCCGGTACCGACGTTCCAGTAATGGACTCTGTGTGTGTGTGTGTTTTTCCTCAGTGGGCTCCACATGCTGCAGCTATGCAGGACGTCACACCACCTGCCGAGAGTACTGCCAGGCCATCTTCAGGACGGACTCCACACCCACCGTGTCTCAGATCACCGCTGTCAAAGAGTACTGTCAGAGTCACAGTCCTCAGCTGCTCAGCTGCGTCAACAACTTCACCAAGTCCTACCCCATACGCAGCCCCATAGATAGTAAGTGTCCTTCTGCTTTACAGCTTTCTCTTTAACCCCAGGAATTTAAGTCTTTGTTATCTTAGGGCGGGGGTGTCAAACATACAGTCCGAGGCACAAAACCAGGCCCGCTGTGGGGTTCAATCTGGCCCGCTTGATGAATTTTGAATGTGAAAATTATATTTTATTAAATGTGAATATTTTTCTATATGAACCTGTACTCATTTGCCTGAAAACAAATAAGAAAAACACAGACTTTTATTTTAAAGCTTAAATGCATGCAACTCCAATAAGATGCAGGTTTCTTCATTACACTAGGGGGCGACATCAGTTATTGACCAATACAGAAAATACTAGGGATGTCCGATAATATCGGTTGACTGTATGGGTTGCTGGTGCCAGCAGGTGGCGCCAGGGCAGAGTTGCTGGTGCCAGGGCAGTTAGGCCACCACTGCCCTATCAGTTGATATCGGAATCGGAAATTAAGTGTTTGGAGAATATCGGATATGGGCAAAAAGTTAACATCGTACATCCCTAGAAAATAGCCTATTTTAACAATATTATAAAAAATAATATATGACACATCCGTGCAATAGGGCGCAATATAATGAACCAAACAAAACAAATCAGAAAAAAAAAAATTCTCAAAAGCAAAATAAAATCTTTATTGACATGAAGTTGTGGCCAGAACTTGGGGAAGGGCATTGTGAAACAGAAGTAGTTTTAGAAACTTTTATTTGCTCGGGTCCTCGCTAATTGACCAAAAGTTACAAATCAATGCGATAGGGCCATTCTCCTCAAGGGGAAGAAAAGAGCAGACAACTGTGAAGCTTTTAAATCTAGCACAAACCAAGCTAAAATACTCAATCGATTAACCAGGATGTCCATAAACACTGATTACAATAAATAAAGAGAAAATAAAAATGATAAATGAAGAACGCATCAGTTGGTTTTGTCATTTAGAGTTTTGATTTTTTTTTTTTTTTTTAAATAATAAAACAGAAAATAGCTTTTCTTTGAGCTGCTCGGCTCCATAGTCTGCACCGTGAAGACACATTGTGTCTGGGTGGAGGATCTTGAGGAACTTGACTCAGCTCTCAGTGCACTCCTTAATATTGCAACGCCTCACTGGAATGTACAAGCAGATGGTTAGCGCGTCGGTGGATTGGATATAATAAGATATTGATCGCACTGGGCATCTTCTTCGTGAGTCACCTCTGCAATTTGGCGGTTTTCTCTTGCAACATTTTCGAGCAACATCGCGTGATGATAGGTTTACCATTAGAAATGTTGCATTTTGTGTCACTGCCACCGTTTCTCAACCCTTATGTATTTCTTAATGCCGAAAACGGACACTTTTTGTTGCACGATCAATAAAATTCAACCTTAACTTTAACCTTAGATAATGTTCCTCCCATTGTTTTTGAAGGTTCTCACATCAACGTTTTGGGATCTGCTTCTTCCCTTATGCTGGACAATAATATACCACCCGCAGTTAATGGCCGGGCAATTCCTTGGGCAATTATAGTGATGTGTTATTAAAATAATTCACTTTCAGTTCAAAACTATTTTTACGTCGCATCATCTGGGTACCCTGGAAACCCTAGACATTGCGTTACCAGGGTTTCATTATCGGATGAAAAACCTAATAACGATTCTTACCGATATAACATAACCATGATATTATCGGACATTCAATAACGAATGGCTCAATCCGATACTTAGCATTGGTTCAATATTGGTCAAAATTTCAGGATCGAACATTAAAAAAAACAACAACCGTAGCTTGTCCCATCTGATAACTCAGCCCAAATGCTCAACTTAACTTTGCAAGATGTTGTTATGCAAGAACGAAGAAAGTTGATATCTTTATCGGCAGATACTCCAAGTTGCAGTATCGGCGTATTGGAGATGGTAACGTTTTGTCAAACCATCCCCATACACAAGCCCTATTGAAGATAGTGTCAATACTTTACTGTACAACACCACATCAACAACCACTAGAGGGAGTCATTTTCCTTTAACTTGTTTGCACTTTATCTGCTAGTGTGATTGTGCATTTATAATAGCATCTTAGGTCTCCTCCTGCTCTCTCTCTCTCTCTCTCGCTCTCTTCCATGCCCTGCTCAGAGATTCCTTCCTGTTGAAAGAAAATTTATTTTTCACCTCACTGTTGCCAGATGGCTTTATGAGCGTGTGATTTCATTCAGTTTTGTAATAATATTTGTCAAACCTATCCGTCTTTGCCGCATATTTATCATTTCAACTTATTGTATCAATTGACTGTATTATGGAGAGGAGTTTTTTAAGTTTTTAAACATGTTGAATCACACGTACAACTCGATCTTCTGGAAGGTGTTCCGAAGTCGTGAAGTATTCATGGCTTTGCATGATAAAGTTTGTTCAGTGTACAGAAGGAAAAAAAAAGTTGGATACTTGTTTAGAGGATCTGGTAATGCAGTGTTCTCAAAGTGGGGGTGTGTGTCCCCTGCAGGGGGCGCAGTGCCATTGCACGGGGGGTTGCGGATAGAATGAATGAATGAAACTTAACGCAGCATATTGTCCAATGCTGTAAATGTTTAACAGGAGACTGGCAAAAAAATGTGTTGGTTTAAGGAGGTGTTAAATTAATATCTGACAATATTATTGTAAAAGCTGCCATTTTTTAAAGGTATCTCTCTTGTTTTTGCTGTCTCCCGTATCTGAAAACCTTTTTGGAGAGTGTCAAAATTTTCTAAAGAATCAAAGTGGAGCCAAGCAGAGAAAGTTTGGGAACCACTAAGCTAAGCTTAATAAGCTAAGCTAACTTTTTGCATTGGGAGCCTATGAAAGAATGAGTTAAGACTTAAGTAAATGTCTTATATTTTTGTTAGGACATTGATCATTCTTGTTAAAACCCCGTGAAGATAGCAGTTAATTAGACTAAAACGTAATGGTTTTCATGGACCTGGTAGTTAGATACTATTGGTTGTGCAGTTTTAACCTTTTACCCATTCCCTCATAACCAGGTCTGTACTGCTGTGACCGGGCGGAAGCCACCCACTGCCAGGTCGCTTGCAGGAAAATACTTCGCACCATGAACACAGAGCATGAGATCATGGAGGGATTGATCAAGGAGTGCGGCTCCCAGCCCCTCCCTCAGGAACCCATGTGGCAGTGCTTTCTGGGTTCCAAACCTCCCTCTCCACCTGAAGTGGAAACACCCCATCCAGTCAAGATGGACTGTGCCAAACTGCACTGCTGCTCCAAGGCCAACACTTCACTCTGCAGGTACAGCATACACTATATAGGTTTCGTAGCGTTGCGAAACCGGTACCTAAGCTAGACATTTAGTAACGAATGTTTAAATCGCTGGCACTACAAATCATTACAGCTATTGCCATATAAATGTATACTCTTAAAATATATATATATATATATAGTGGATCCTTGAGATACGAGCGTCTCGACATATGAGTATTTCGAGATACAAGCAAGCCTTACAGATGCCGATGCTAGGTGGCCGAGCCCACGCTGCTTCACTCGTTCACTTCACGCGTTCGTCGACTTCCACACCCATCTCCCGGGAGTCTTCTGTATTGTGCTTGCGTTATATACGTGATTTTTCTCACGTATGAGTCCTAAGAAAGTCGTTGCTAAGGATGTTAGTGAGAAGAAGAAACGCATGGTGACCATGGAAATAAGGCATGAAATTGTCGATAAATATGAGAATGGTGCCCGCTAAAGAAAAAACGTAGTAGTAGTAGTAGTAGTAGTAGTAGTAGTAGTAGTAGTATAATCAGTTAAAGTAGTAGTATTTCTTATTAGCCCTGATGAAGACAACGCTAAAAAGCTGTTCTTCTTCTAAGGCACATTAACCCTGTTCTGTCCTATGCCGTTCCAGAGAAATGTGTCAGGAAATAAGCACCAACTGGGGCAGCCAAACGTGGCAGGACTTCGATCAGCTCTGTGAGTACAACCCCGTGGAGGCCGAGCTCATTAACTGCCTGGCGGACGTCCGAGAACCCTGCCAGCTGGGCTGCAAAGACCTCGCCTACTGCACCAACTTCAACAACAGGTCACCATTGCATTTTTTTAAATCTTTTTAATATTTGATATTTTTGGGTTAAACAAAATGTCCTCACTATCAATAACGTGGTGTATCACTAGAAAGTTTTTTTCATTGTTTGAGTAAACAAACATTGTTATTTAGGGATGGCTTGATAAAACTTTTTTTTGGTCCGATACCAATACTAGACTTGGAGTATCTGACGATGCTAATATCAATACCTTCTTTTCTCGCCCAGCATTGGGCAGCTGTTGTTGCTGAGGTGATAGTGGGAATAGAATTATTATTGAGAACCTAATAACGTATATTTTTTATCTGTACAAACCACTGTATGAGTTGCTGCCACCTAGTGACTGGAGGCTTGTTATCATTCAAGCATTACAGCATTGGTACACTTATGTCCAGCGGGCCATATTTCTCACCTATTTCAGAAATACTGAGTTAAGTCGAGCATTTGAGCTTAGGTATCAGATCGGACGGGGTAGAGATTGTTTTTTTTCTCAATGTTTGATCCCGAAATTTCGCCCGATATCGGAAATATACCGTACATGAGTGTAGGATCCCTAGGGCTAGTAAATTAAGGTTCAACCAAGAATTGTAAAACTCTCATCTATCCTGTGATGGTAAACTGAAAAGAGACATGAGCGTATTCAGATAGATGGATATTATGTAACATAGCAGTGCAAATATAAACAGGTACCAAAAGTGTCCGAAAATAATTGAAATAAAGTGTAAATAAGTGTTGTTGTAAAACTTAAAAAAACGTTCAGACCTCAGATTCACTCAATTTCTCACAATCTCTAAGTAACCTCTCCTCCAGTTTACGTAAAAAAAGAGTGTGGAATAGCAATTACATCGATGAGGGCCTGTGGTTGCAGAGGCACAAACTGCGACTTGCTGTGGCGAGTGGTTGACCAGAAGGCAATTGGTCCAGCAGCATGAAGCCAGGCGACAAACACAGTGACTCAGTGAGCAAGAGCAGCCATCCGCAGCAGAGCCAAAAGCGAGGAATTACCAGAACAACATTTTTCCCCCCAAAAAATGAGAGTTACCACCTAGCAAGTGGAACGATCTGGCACTGGGTTAGCAATTAGCGGCTCGATCCGATACTATAGGCCGTCAGATCCGATAAGTCCAAACCCTCAACTTATCTTTGACGTGCTGTAAAAAGGGACACTTTCGTCTCAGCAACCGCTGGAGGGAAAACGGTGTCAAACTCAAGGCCCTCGGGCCAAATGTGGCCCGCCAAGTCATTTTGTGTGGTCCTCGGGAGCTTAAAAATAAACAAAGTTTCTTAACTTGGTAATTTATGTTTTTTATCACGCGGAGCAATGTGCAATAATATTTCGGTAATTTCAACAAATAATCAATTGCAAAAACATGTATTAATACATTATGGAGTACTCGCAGCTATTTAGTCTTGCAGTCAAGTCCTCCAAGGCGTATGGGTATCGGCAGATATTCCGAGGCGCAGTATCGGTGTCGTCACAAACAGTGCAAGAATAATACAAATATATCAATTAAAGTAAAATATACCTAACTATGTTTTGAGAACAATTTCACATAAGCAGGATATATTGCTGTGTTCGTATTCATTTCTGTCACTGTAATATTGGCCCCCAAAAAAGTAACTAAACAGCTAGAACAGACACAGTTCAAACAGATGAAAACTGTTTGAGGCCTGAGTGAGGTCTGCAGCTATCAGTGCCACAGCACGCTTCACACACTGTCTACAGACGAGGCCAGAGGCCAAATATACTGTAGGGACTTCAAAGGCTCAAATGCAAATATATGGCACAGACACACACGCACACACACAGAGCACTATGCCAATCACCTAGAGCGGGAGAAACAACAAATGCTGGTGATAATATTGAATTCTTTCAGAAAAACAAGATCACGTTTTACACCAGGGATATTCGCATTTACGGCAAATATGACAAAATGTTAAACATATATTTAATGGTTTTTTTTTAAGATGTAAAATCAACAACTACTTTACCAGTAATACATGAATTTAATCAGTACCCCAATATAAATAATGTATAGGGATGTCCAATAATATCGGCTGATCAATATTATCGGCCCGATATTAGCATTATTATGTAATATCTGTAAGAATCGTTATCGATTTTTTTTCTCCGATAATGAAAACCCGATAACGCAGTGCCTGGGTTTCGCCAAATGATGTGTGCTCTAAAAATAGCTTAATGCCCCGGTGACAGACCAATCAGGCCAAGGGGCTAGCATGGGAGGGTATGAAAAAAGGCGGCATTTAACTTCCTTAACCACCAGGCCCCGCTATTCCAGTATCGGTTGATATCAGAATCGGAAATTAATTGTTTGGACAATATCGGCATATCGGATAGTGACAAAAAGTTAATATCGGACATCCCTAATACTGTATATATAAAGTATGTTCAGTTTATATGAGTGAATATATATTTTACATTTTGATATATTTTATATTTTATTATTTATTTTTTTCATTTGAATAGTAGCCCTAATATAATGTATATATATATGTTCAGTTTATTTGAGTGAATATATATTTTACATTTTGATATATTTTATATTTTATTATTTTATTTTTTCATTTGAATAGTAGTCCCGAAGCCAAAAAAGTGTGGACACCCCTACTGTAGATATCGCTTTTTTTGATTTACCTTGGAGATCTGGGGATTGGATTTGACATAAAACATTACGAACACAAAAATGTGACATTACAAAATGGACTTAAACTAAACACACAGTACCACATTTACAGACTGGATAATAGGCATGCACATGGTAAAGATATCAGTGAGGTTTTATCAATGAAATATTAAGACCTTAAATTCACCAAGGTGTAGAAAAAGGTACCACGCAAGTATTTCAGTTTGTATTACCCACAATGTCACCCATGAAGTACTAGCACATGTAGAGTACTCTGCTTATGTAGGGTCTAAGTCAGGGTAACATTGTTCCAATCTCAGGCTTGTTTTCTTTCACGTTAAAGCCATGATGGACATCATGCTGCATTTCTGTGGCGCCTGAACAGCAGGCTAACAAAAGTTTTTTTGATGGGCTACAAAAGAGCCTAGCATGACGTTCAAGTCCCCCGAGGGGATCAAACGCTAGGACGTGTAGCTTTGAGCACAAACACTGTGTCAGGGTGAAGGTACACATGTGCAGTAACTGTGTGTGTCTTTCACAGTACAGCTGCAGCGTAAAGAAGGGTATTTAAAACAAGTGATTAAAGCTAGGATTAAAGCTAGGAACAAACTTCAAACTTCTAAATTGTAGTGCGTTAAATCTTTTATTTATTGTTCTTTTTTCTGAGTTTGTCTTTGTCAAATTTTTTAAGGCTATTTTTGGAGTGATTTGGCTTCACACTATACATTTTTCCGACTGCAGCAGCACTTTTAATTCATGCGATCTGATGACCAAAATTTCTATGAACCTAATCGAGTACAAATTATATGCCATGTTTACCTCTTACCTCCGCCTCAAACTCGCCGTTTTGATGCTCTGATGTGAAATGGCTGCACTGCATGTGTCACAAACGAACACAAAATCAATGGTTTGCATTAAGATTCAGATCATTGGCCGCCATCCGGTTGGCTGCAAACCACAGCTGAACCTTTTGGAACAATATCCACATGCACACGCACAGGCAGTTTGGGTGTATTTACAAGGAATCCACTCATCGAGGGCAAGGGAAATGATTGCACCACACCCAGAAATTTGGACTGGGACTTCTTTTGAAACCACCAATTAGATGACTCACACGAGAGCAGCCATGCCAATCTGACATTAAACGCACACTCCTTGCTACAGTGAGGAAAACAACCCTGGTATTAGCCTTCCAGACAGCAGTGACCTCCCTCTGGAACAGTACAGCTGCAAGAATATGCCGTTATAACAAAAGCCAGATGAGCTGTGTTACTGGGTGTTTTTTTTTCCCCCTGTTAACTTATTTGTATCTGCCTGACGTTTGCTCTCTTTTTGTCCCCAGGCCCACAGAGCTGTTTCGTAGCTGTAACGTCCAGTCAGACCAGGGCGCTATGAACGACATCAAGCTCTGGTCCAACGGCACTATAAAGATGCCGTTCATGAACATCCCAGTACTGGACATCAGGAAGTGCATGCCAGACATGTGGAAGGCCGTAGCGTGTTCCCTGCAGATCAAACCCTGCCACAGCAAGTTTAGGGGAAGCGTCATATGCAAGTATGTTTATCCGTTACCCATCCGCAGTAGTCAGTTGAAGCCTTTCAGGCAAATTTGTGTCTTAAAAAATATCTACAGAAAGTTTACCTCTGAATTTTTATGGTTTTAATGTACTCATAATTCACTAAAATCTTGGCCTGTTTATTTGAAGACATGCTGATATGCTCGCAGGAATTGAAGAAAATCATAAAGAAAATTCTTCAACAGCTCTGATTGTCTTTTTGTTTAGTTTTCATGACCATTTATGGTCACCTAGTGCAAAGGTATTTAATTGTTCTGCATGTCACGCATTGACAAACAAAGCAAAATTATATTGCAACAGCACCTATCGCGGCACACCTAATGGTCTCACACACTAGTGTACCACGACACAGTGGTTAGGAATCACTGCACTAGAGTAAATATATAATAATTAAATGTAAGGATGTCCGATATTAACTGTTTGCCGATATCCGATATTGTCCAAACACTTCCGATTTCCGATTCCAATATCATACCGATATATGCAGCCGTTTGACCCCAAAACTGAGGTAGAACACCTCAGGACCCCACAAGCTATTCCAGCATATTTGGCAAATCCCAGGAATCGCGTTATCTGGTTTTCATTATGGGAGGAATAACCGATAGCGGTTCTTAGCGATATTATGTAATTATGCTAATATCGGGCTGATAATATCGGTCGGCTAATATGACCAGGCATCTCTAAGTAAATGCCATTTTAAGTCTCCCAAAAATAACAAGAATTTGTGTGTTTAAAGATACATTGATAGTACAGATTATTAGTGCAGAGGAGTCAAAGTTAAAACTTGAGAAGAAACTTCAGTAAATATAAGTAGATATACATATATATGTACAGTATATAGATGTAGATGTATAATTTTATAATTATATAAGGATATATATACAGTATATGGATATATATAGACATGTCTATATTTACTGTATAGGTATATGGTATAAATATATATAGTATCTATATTTTATATTTATAATTTTATATATAGAATATATATATATGCACATATATATTAGACATATAGAGGTGAACCACAGAAGTGGCCCTCGGGTTGGAAGTTTAAGAACTCCTCTCTAAAGAAGGAATGGTTCACTCCAGTATTTAGGATTGGTCATAATTTCAGAATTATTTTTCATTTTTCTTCAGGTCAGACTGTGTGGACATTCTGACCCAGTGTGGGGACAGGAAGCGCTTCCACGAAGGACAAACACCAGAAAGAATTTGTGAACTACTGTCACCCATCGATGACCCTGAACGCTGCATCCCTCTTCACAGATACCTTAGTGAGTCACTATATTTCCCCTAATTTCTCAACGGGATTCTGTCTATCTATCTATCTATCTATCTATCTATCTATCTATCTATCTATCTATCTATCTATCTATCTATCTATCTATCTATCTATCTATCTATCTATCTGTCTATCTATCCGCCCGTCCGTCTGTCTTGAGCATCTGTACAGCTCTTAGCCTCTGGAATTATCTTCAAACAGCAACATGTGCCAGTCAAATGTAAAGCAGCCACTAGAGGGCAGAGGAGCACAGACGCTTAAAAGCCAACAGCATGACAGAAAGAAAAAAAAAATTCATATTTGTAGCTTTTCTTGCCAGTTTTTCAGCAGTTTGGTTAACACTAACTTTTCGTTTAATTTAAATAATAATTCATGATTTGAATTTTATTATATCCCAATCTCAATAATTCAAAACACCCCTTTTGCATTTTGCATCTTACAGTAGCCACAGAATCAGAGTATGAGGAAAAATTGGCACAAGCCGTGCAGCACAGGAGCACACACACACACACACTCAGACAAAGGCATATTATCAGCCACCTGGGTCACCTACATCCAAAGGACAATGAGCACGCACACACACACACTCACTCACACAAAGGCATATTATCAGCTACCTGGGTCACCTACATCCAAAGGACAACACGAAGGTTAAGATATTTCACATTTCTATATATAGCCCCTGCTAATTGGTAAACTATGCTAACACACTGCATGCTAAAGATAGTGTCATGTCATGACCTTCTCTTTTCCAACCCATACTTACAATCCTCTTTTTTTTTTTTTCTTCAGCCCCCAGTTCCTTAGGCAACAGCGTTGTTGAGGAGGTCATTCACCCATGCAACCCTAACCCCTGTCCCAGCAACCATCTCTGCCAGGTCAACAGGAAGGGGTGCCTGGACGAACTCAACTGTCAGCCCTACCTCTGTTTACCAGGTTGGACTGAATTACTTTACATGTTTCTTCCGTGTCTTCATCTGCGAAAAAAAAAACTTCTCTGGGTAACGACTGGGTATCGTAAACTTCAGGCTGTAAATTGGGCGAGGCGTCCGAGTTCCTGGTGCAGCAGGACGCTCTTATCCAGGTGCCGACTCGCATGAGGGCTGCCGGGTGCTACGAAATGTGCAGCTGCGGCCCCAGTGGGCGTCTGGAGAACTGCGTGGAGATGCCGTGTGTGGACATCAACAAGCCCTGCATCGTAGAAGGACAGCAAAAGAGTAAGACCACCCCCCCTTTTTCACTCCCCTTCGCCCCCAACAATTTTGCAGGTGCGACCTATATTGAGGAGCGCTCTATAGTCCAGAAATTACGTTACTTTAGTCAGTTAAATATTCTCTACACTCGCCGTTAGACAAGAACTGTCAAACATTTTTCAAAGAGATGAACCAATTATGCATAAAGGCCAAACATTATGCCTGAAATTCTTCTAAACCATTTTAATTCAAAGCAATATAACCCTTTTATGGACCTTACATTGCAAACGTTCTATATTTAATTCATCTCATGGATGACAAATCTAAACAGCTCTGACCTAAATCACCCTGTCTTTCATAACTGAAGGCCAAGTAAAATCTGTCTCTGAAAAGAAGCTCGGCAAGCTAAAATATATGTATATCGAAAGAAAGCAGTGAGCAGTGTGTGGGGATGGTGCCTGGTGGAACCTGGTGACTGGTGGATTGAACCTGTGACCTTCCGGACACAGTTCCGTCTCCTTAACCACCAAGCCACCATAATACCAACATTTATCTTATTACGAAATAAAATATATAGTGATATTGTTCCAAGATTTCACACTTTAAATATCTCAGGTGACCGAAACGAAACACTTGCCTGCGAAGGGGAATACTGAGATCTAGCCAGCAGAACATGGTGGGGTATACCAAAAAATAAATTTGCCCTCAAATATCGATATTTGAATAATAAACATGCATTCGTACTAGACAGATTCTCTCCCTCTTAAAACCCTGCGGTAATTTTTCAAACGTCCACATGAGGCACTAAGGAGGAGGAAAAGTGTTTACCGACAGCACAGCATCCACAAACGCCGTACGCCGAGGATGTCATAAACTGCAGATCCCCTGTGTGATAACCTTGCCTTATGAACCCGTTGAACTATTTCCTTAATGGTCTGATAAAAAAAGGAAAGACTTTTGCTTTTTATCTTTTAGTATTGCCAACAACGGGTAAGAACAAGCATGGGTAAACTAAGGCCCGGGGGCCAGATGTGGCCCATTCAGCTTTTAATCCGGCCTGCTTCACTTTTCCAAATTATAAAATTTATTTATATTATCATTATACTTCTGCCTTTTCTCTGCAATACCCACGTTTCCCCAATAGATGGCGTAGAAAATGTTAGCATTTTAGCCTTTATGCATGACTTTTACATGTCATTTATCTTAGTTCGCACAAACGCTCCATCCATCTGCTCCTGAGCCGGCCCCCTTGTTCAATTTTGGGTCAGTTGTGGCCTGCGAGTTAAAAAGTTTGCCCACGCCTGAATGCCAAAGACGACACCAGGACTGTCTCCAGAACTTTATTCCATCCATCACATCGTCTGTGTGATTGCATTTGTGGTGGTAGAGCTAAAGGCTAGGTCCCCCGCAGGGGAACCTGCAAATGGCAGCATATCTCTTTTTGTCGGTTTTCAGTAAAAAAATCTTTCAAAACAAGTCGTTAGTTTAATCACTTCCTGCGGGGGGCGAAATTGATTTTAGACAGGTATAATGAAGTGTATAATGAAGTGTTTAATTAGATGCCTCGATTGGGGCTTCATGGTGAAGGGTTGTGTTAATAGAATATGTTATGAGGGGTTAGTCATTCTCTTTAGGTTGATCACGCTTTTATGCTAGCACAGTGGCATCATCATAATGTAGGGAAGAGGTCCGCAAAGCTTTTTGGAACAGGGACTGATCGGCTGGTATTGGACATTAGTGCGGACCGCTAGCACCATGCCGATTGTTGAAGGATCATTAAAGATCAGTTTTCAAAATAAAACTTTTTTTTTTCTGTTAGTATCAGAGTGTGAACAACATATTATTTTAAAATATTGCTGGAATTTCTGTACCAAATGACCTATAGACTGGTACTGGTCCACGGACCGAGAGTGGGGACCCCTGATGTAGGACATACAACAACACATCCGAAGAGCCTGAATTTACGCTTGGGAGCCAAATGGAGGGCATGGGTTCTCAAAAAAGCCCAACAAATACAGGAAAATATATGTAGCAAAATCCAGTGTATGGCGTACAACCACGAACGTAAACAAAGCTGCTTTTGCGCATACCTCCACTTTTGTGGATCCAATCGAGGACCCCCTGTAGGTCACAAATTTAGTCCAGCTGTTTGTTTTCCAGCACATCTGATCTTGTGAAACGGAAAAAAAAAATTAAGCAATCTTTTTGTGATTCGTTTTTCTTCTACATTTTTTTTTTTAACTTGAGATCCGGTGAGTCTGTGAGACATCCGTTCGTGTCCACAGGGTCACCACCAGTCATCATCACCGTTTAATGAATTCTACGAGGCACTACTCAAATTCATTAAGAGCCGATTGTAGCAGAAATAATGTCTTTTAAATCAGCCCCTGAAGCACAGGATGTCCACTGTACCGAACCTCTGCTGCTGTTCGCTGCATCTGCGTCAGAGGTCTAACCTCTGTCGAGATTTCAGAATTATGAGTCGAGGCAGGTGGTGAAGAGTGTCAGAAAGGGAGAAAATGAGATGTTTAATATTTGACGTTTCCCTCCCAAACAGTTTTCCACCAGTGTATGGGACTATCTTTGACTAACAATTGGCTGAAAAAGATTGATGAAAAGTAGCCATAAGCCCTTGGGTAAAAAAAAAAAAAAACAACCTTTTAATCTTCAAGACTTTGACAGTTTGTTAAAAACAACCATTCCTAAGTTTTTCTTTTCTATCTCAGTTACTGAGTCACAGTATTGCAGCTTTACATTATTGTATTATTAGTTAACATTACTGGATATACAGGTTCCGTAACCATACTGAAAATTGAAAATGGTTTACGTACATGAGGTTTGATAGGATCATTTTATTTATGTTCAAAGTTGTTTTTTTGGTACAACCGGCCAGTCAGCACCGGTTTTCAGTATAGAAAAAGAACAAGCTGAAGGCTAAGATGATGTTAGCTTGAAAGTACTTCCCAGTTAGCCAATAAAGCTCCAAGCTATATTTATAATATGCAAGCTAACCACGGCGAAAATGACAAACCTATGCCAACACTTAAAGTATTATCGCCACCATGCTCAGTTTAAAGAGTCTAACAATGGGAGAATGACTTTTTTTTTCTCCAGATGTAGCATTAGCTGAGCTGGCTAGTTACGCTAGCCGCTTGCTGTGGGCTAACTCATAAAGCAACAATCAGTTTGTTTGGTATTATTGTTAGTAGTTACATGTCTATAGTGTGTAGAACTCAGTGGAGAGACACAGATAATGCCAATCTATTGCACAAGCCTTTATTTGCTGCAAGTCTTTTATTGAAAGTTGTTGAACTGAAGAGAGAACCTGTGACTTGAAGTTTGTGGGAAACGTTTCAAAATAACCTGTTATCGGATTGATATCGGTATCAGCAGATACTACATGTGTCGAGCCATTCCTAATTTTTACCATTATGTAACATTCAATACCTCCAAGTAGCACAAAAGTTCATAGCGTTTACTTTTAACTGAAGACATTCAGCCTTCTGTTGAAATCTAAGGACTAAATTAAAATTGTGTTAATGCAGATCTAAAAGGTAAAAAAAAAGGTTAAAAATGACACAGTACATCATTTATCATTTATAACGTAAACCACAGTTGTCCATAGACTTGTGAAAGTCTATTACTTGTGATTCAACAGAAATAAAAAGAGAGTAGGTTTTATATCGGGATTTATAAGAGAGAGCGGGCGAGCAGAGTGTATAAATGCTAGTCATAAATCACAGCTCTCATATGTGTTGGGGTGAGAATAATAATCACTCCGGATACAGGCAGCATGAAACAATAACAAAAGAACTACTCACGGTGTACCACGAGATTGCAAATGCGTTCAAATAGGTCATTAACAACTGATATTTGAATGTTTACCATAAAACAAATACAAGTGCATACTCTTAGGTTGTAGTTTTATAGGTAGAAATCTGGTGAGGGTTGTGGCTAGTGCGAGTAGTCTTTGGAAACACTCTTGAGTGTTATCATAAATATCACACATATGGCCAATTGAGGGTAATCATTAAACCCTAATACCCATTCTACAGGTATTTGTTAGGGATGGCTCATTGCACTTACAGTATTTCCAGATTCGGCAGTTTCGCGGGCTGGAAGTGGTTCTTGGGCCAGGAGTTTCGAAACCCTCTGGAGTAAATCAAAAGTGCTAACTGGAGTGTGCATCGTATTAATATTATCAGTATATCCACCCACAGAGTTTAACTCCATTATGTCCGTACGGCTGCTGCTGATGCACCGGCAAACAAGAACCGATTACTACACAATCTGGACAATTACAGGGGCTCACCAAAGAAGTGGCAAAGCACTAATTATCTCGGCAATCACGCCATATGGTCGGATCAGTGTTCGGTAAGTGCTTTTGTAGCAGAGGACAGTGCACACCGTTGCAGTGGGCTCTCTATAGGCACCACAGGGGATATGTTTGAACATCTGCTACCAACAGATGCTTATTAAACACCGGTCTGAAGCCAAAAAGGGTTTTTAGGAAATCAGCTAAGATATTGTCATTAATTAGGGAATAGACGCTGTATAAAATGGTACAATTAGGATCCATCGCTGGTTTAATAAATAGCTGATTTGTGGGGGTTGATTTGCCTTGCAATGCTCTTGTGGAAGAGTAGATAGAATTCTTGATTTATTTATGAAGAAATCCCCCCCCCCCCCCCAAAAAAAAAAAAAACACTCTCTCCATCCTTCAGTTGAAGAGTGGGAGCCCTGTCCTGAAGCAATCTTTTGGAATTTTAATTTACTGCTGCAGATTAGTTCATTTTTTAGTTATCTCTTGCCGTCCGTTTTCTTATTTCTTGTATTAAATACTGCAGTGCTGTTGGCTGTTGCTATTGTCAACAGTACACTAAACTTTTTTTTTCTAGCCTTTCCCATGCGATACCGATACTGCAACTTAAAGGATCTGCCGATATGAATCCGTTACCTCCGTGATAACTCGAGTCACGAACGTCCCTATTTGCGAACAAACTACAAACACTATTTTTGGACAGATTCTGTTACATTTCACGAACGATGCGTCGATTCACGTACATACACACATTCTCCCCACTACGGACGCTGCTCATCGGAGCCCATGAGACGCCTAGCGCAAAAAACTTTGTATGAGGCGCCCAGCCACCTCATCCATCCCAGTTCTTCAAGATCTAGTGTCCGAACAACAAGTGGTTAGCGTAACATTGTTCCTCATTGACAAGTACTTTTTTATCGGATTGGACGAGCTAAAGTTTTTTCCGATGTTTGATCCTGAAATTCTGATTCATATTGGACCGACACCAATCCTGAGTATCAGAACGAGCAATCCCTAGTACTTCACGGCACAGGATTTAAATGTCACTGCATTTTGTTTTCTTAACCAATTTGACATAAAACAAAAAAACTGATAATAAATACAAATTTGAGACAGTGGTCTCTACATATGTATTTACAAAATATTCACTTTGGTATACCAACAATGTAGCTACATTTAAAGGATAAATACACACTCAATTAAAATATAAAATATCAAACAAAATGTCAACACTAAATCTCCCATCCTAACAAATATATAAAAAAATATAAAAATATAAATGTAAATTTTTTTTAAATTTATTTAATTAGCTATGCCAATTTTAACACTGTTTAATTGTTGTCATTTTCTTTTTCTGCTTTACTTTGTGTTGCTTACATAATAATATATACATTCCTTCTGTCTATGTATTTTTAGGATGATATTTTTTAATTCTAATTTGAATGCTGAATTATTGTTTTATATAATTATAGAACATTGTATTGCTGGTACAGCAACAGGTCGGCTGCATTTTTTTTTTTTTTTTTACATCATTATTTGAAGTGACAATGGTGGAATTATGCTTAAATTTTCCTCTGTATCCTCAGACCACGGGACTTCATTCAGGGTTGCCTGCGACACATGTTCCTGCTTCGCTGGAAACACCATCTGCTCCACTCGAGAATGCGGCAGCTATGGCAACACAGAGGAGACTCCACGGCACTTTACCGGTATTTTGTCGCATTGCCAATTTTAAAACGTCAGTCGTCACCTCCTGCATATACGTAGAAATGTTCCTCCGTTTAACTCTCATCTATGGGTCTCCTGCAGTGAATTAATTTTTCTTCCTTGACTCATTTGTAGTTAACAGGTACTATTGTATCATGTCAGGTCACGTCTTCATGAATGAGAGCTTGCTGCATGCATCTGATTAGCAGCTGATGATTTGGGTTTTTTTTTTTGTTGTTTTTTTTTTAACTTACATTTTATTGTTACAAACAAAAAATGCTATATGAAAAGGCTAAATACTATACACATCATATTATATACTGTATATATAGAGTATATGTGTAAAACAACACACATACACAGAGAAAAGAAATAATACCAAATCAATTTAAACAAATAAAACAAATAGATTAAAGCAACTAAAGAACAAATATTTTTGTGTCGAACAAAAATCCAAATCGAACAAACCCAACGCATTTTGCAACATTTAAACATCGCTATAGATGCCGGTCCAGAATTTTCACAATTGGTGCATCCCTAATGTATACAGTATGTTTATAAAGAATACAATGGAATATGGCACGCTGATAGGGGGTTTTTGAAGATAAATAAGGCGGTCAATAGTATTTCAATTTTGTTCGGGGGCGAAAAAAAACTTCTGTCCCCTAGGGGGCGGCACGGCAGAAAATAATTGAAAAACACTGCTTTAACCCATCACCTTAATGAGCAGGCAGTACTTAACTTCCTTAACCACCAGCCCACCACTGCCCCGCTATATCAATATCGGTTGGAATCGGAATGTGAAATTAAGTGTTTGGACGATATCGGCATATCGGGTATCGGAAAAAAGTTAATATTGGGCATCCCTAATAATCAATTTATGTAGCTTATTTCAAAAGTGTGACCACGTCTGATTTCTACTGTAAATGTGTAATATAATATCAGATAGGTATTTGTTGATACATTTTTGTCTGCACCAATAGTCATCATTTCAACGTCCCCCATCTGTCACCAGGTCTCCCATGCAACTGTCCTGACAGGTTCATCCCAGTGTGTGCCTCTAATGGCCGGACCTACCCAAGTGCCTGTATGGCCCGCTGTATGGGATTCAAGGACCACCAGTTCGTCTTTGGCCAGTGTCGCCTCAGTAACCCTTGTGCCAACAAGCCCTGTCAGAGAAATCAAAGGTTAGTCCGATTGTACATATATATATTTCGTTTTTCAACTTTTTTAAATGATTTTTTTTTTCTGCAAATCTCAAATACAATTGTTTAACAAGTCCTGGCTCGGGGGCCACTTTTAGGCCATGTAAATTGAAATTTTACATCTGGCTCATGTGTCGATATCAATAATAATGATACCCCTATACGAGTATTTAGAGTTACGAGCAAGCCTTCAAGCAAATTTTTGCTTCGAGATATTTTGTGCATTGTTCTTCGTAATAGTGATGAGTCCTAAGAAAGTGAGTGGTAAGGATGGTGATGAGTCAATAAATATGAGCGTGATGCCTGCGTCAATGATCTAGCACGCATGTATCATCGCAGTACATCCATATATGTACCATCCTAAAAACATTGCACACAGCAAATTCAGCATGCAGATGGTCAAATAGCATAACAAATACTGTTGTCTGGGCTGATGGATTTTCACTCATTTTACCTTAAGTATAAAACAGTCGTTTACTGTAACAGAAACAGCTTTGTAGTGGCCTCGAAACAATGTAAGAAACAAACAAATTCTGTTGCAGATGACATTTTCATATCACTGGTATGGCAACACAACACAACAACAAGGTAGTTGTACTGCATCATCACTCTCTTCCAGACAAGGACGCCATGAATCAAAGGATGATTTTCAACATTGTTTTAGGTTTCATTTGATCAGTTCGTCTGACTCTCAACAATAAGCTGTTGAACTAATAAAACAGTTTTGATTGAGTTCCATTTAGATTTCATCCACAACTCACCTCTCTATATATATTAGGGGTGTAATGGTACAGGTCAGCCACGGTTTGGTATGTACACACACACAAATATATATGTATTTATTTATATATGTGTGTGTGTATATGTTATATATATGTTTGTATATGTGTATATATATATATATATTTAATAATTAATTAGCGTTTCAAGACTTTAAGTATATATGTATATATGTATATATATTAGGGGTGTAATGGTACAGGTCAGGCATGGTTTGGTATGTACACACACACAAACATATATATATATATTTATATATATGTGTGTGTGTATATGTTATATATATGTGTATGTTTGTATATATGTATATATATATATATATATAT